CTTGCGGGGTGCAGAGGGGAGTCTGGCTGGCTTTTCAGCAATTTTATCTGCAAAGATATTCCTAGCTGTGCTGGGGTCTGAAAGCCTCTGGTTTCCTCTGCAGTGAAGTACAGTGGTCCCTCGCTTGTTGCAGGAGTTACGTTCCAGAGACCCACACAACAGGTGAAAATCCATGAAGGAGCGCATTGTATTTATTTTATTATTTATATATATTTTAAGGCTTTATAAACCTTTCCCACACTCCTATAAACCCTTCCCGTACTCCTGCGTGCCTTCCTGGGGAGACCCTTCTTCCCAAAGCCTGGGCTTCCAACTGGGGCGGTGCCTAGGGATGCCTGGGCATCTCAGCTCCAAGGGCAGGAGGGGAGGACGGGGCAGGTGGGCATGGAAGGCAGAAGCAGGCTAGACAGTGGGGCACGCAGGACCCAGCTGAGCCACAGCCTCAGCCGACCTGTGCCCAGTGCCCAGCCTGCACTACCGGCCCCGCCCGGGCCGGCTTGTAGCGCAGATGGGGGCTTGGGGTGTGCCACATGCCCTCCTAGCCTATAAGCAGCACCCGCCCACCTGGTGCAGGTCTGCTGGCATGGCCAGGTGGCTCTGCTGGGCCCTGGCTGGCTGTAGTGGCATACTGCATTTCCATTATGTGCCGTACAATATTCATCCCCTGATGAAATACATACTCTACAGTATTTTATTTCGATTTAATATTATTTTAATATGTTTGAATTAACATTTTAAATATTTGTATATTGCTTTAAATTTTTAGGCAAAAATCATTAAAATCATAAATATTATATCTATAGCTATGTACTGCAGAATCCTAAGATAGAGCAAAAACACAATGCAGAATTAGATATATGTTTTTAAAAACCCTGTGATACAGTGAAGCTGCAATAAGTGAACTGTGATATAGTGAAGGATGACTGTATATACTGTATTTTATTTTGATTTAGTATTCTTTTAATATGTTTGAAAACATTTTTTATATTGTTTTAGATTTTTTGGGCAAAAATAATTAAAATCATAAATATTATATAAACACCTATATATTGCAAAATCCTGTGATATGGCAAAAACTCTGAGATACAAAATTAGATTTTTTAAAAAAAACCTGTGATATAGTGAAGCCACAATAAATGAACCACAATATAGCAAGGGATGACTGCACACCCGCTCAAACTGGCAATAGGGCAGCCTGGAGAAGGGCTTTAATGTGTGACGCACTAAAGACTGAAGCCCCTCATTAGGTGACAAACCCCTTTCTGCCCAAATGGCAGCATTATTATGTAGTACCTGGGATGCATATCTTGAGTGTATAGATGTTAACTCGTAGACCCTTAGCTAGTGTAAGTGCATGGGTCAGGGTGGTCAGTTCAGCCTACTGAGAGGGGCGGATGAAGGGAGAGCTTCTGCCTCTATGATAGAATCATGAGAGACAATTACATATCCTACTCTGGCAGGGGAATTGGGGGTGGACTTATATGAACATGTGTCTATGAGCCAGGTGTGGTCAGGGCTGGGAAGGGGCAAGGTGGATATGTGAGGGAAGGGGGAGGTTGATAGGTGTATTAGAGACATGCAGTCCTGTGGTTTGGGTTATTTAGAAAGAAGTGGCAGGCTGATAAAATAAGAAGCTGGGTTAAAATTGGGGCCTAAGAAGATGGTAACCACGGGAGTTTCCATAAAAAGCACAGAGAGCTGAAAAAGTCAAGGGGTGGAAAGTGTGAGTGGTGGGATGAAGACATGAGTCCCTTACGATTATGGGAAGATTAGAGGGTAAATGGGACATGCCTAGGGATTTGAGTGTTTCTAGGAGTAATAGGGCTGCCAGGCAGCTGCCAGCCTCAGATGGTGGGGTCAGGCTGTTTGGACAGAAACACGGTCATGTGTGGGCTGGGACCTTGCATCAGAATGTGCAGTAGGAGCCGCATATCCTTTGTGTTCTACTGTGTAGAGGCTGAAGGGTTGGGTAAGGTCTGGAAGGGCCAAGGAGGAAGCTATCTTTAGGGTCTCTTTTAAGGACTGAAAGGATGAATGAGACAGTCTTACGGTCTAATGGTTCAGTGGAGTCTCCCTCTGTGAGTTTGTAGAGGGGTTTGGTGAGGAGGCCAAAGTTGGGAAACCAGAGGCAGAAGTATCCTATTATGCTTAGAAAGGAGTTGTCTGGTGGTCGGGGTGGAATCTGGGAAACTAAGTGCATACAGTCCACTTGTTTGCAGAAAATGATGTCTAGAGAGGTGATGGATGGGGAAGAGATTTGAGACTCAGAGGGAGATACCTGGTGTCCCTTTGAATCTGGATGTTGTAATAATAAGAGGGTGTCTTTACAGGATGACTCAGAAGGGGCTGACTGGGTGTTGACATGCAGTTTAAGAAAAAGCTGCTCTTCTGGACCCTCTGGATCTAGTATTGTGAATTGTCTAAGGGCAGCAGGCAGGTGAGCCATAAACTGGGTTGGAGTTTCATCTCTGGTCTGAGTGATTTTAAAATTTATCAAAATTAACTGCTTCATGGGCTCCCTTGCAAAGTCTCTCTCCTAGGTAGGAGATTATGTGATCTCAACTGGGTATGTTCTAGGATCCTGCCTGATAGTTGTAGTGTGGATCCTCGGAGTACAGTTGAGGTGCCCTCCAGAAGTTTTGGGATGAAGGCACCTGCGGTCATCCTCATAAGACTGGGCCAGGGAACATACTCTTTCTCATTCATTTGGGTAGACAGTGGAGTTAAGGATGACATTTAAATCAGTCCAGGTGAGGCTATATGACTGGGCCAGGAATTGGAGCCCTTGAATATACTGGGTGAGGTGTGATGAGAAAGCACCCAGATAATGGCTGATACGGGGGAGGTCAGATAGAGAGAAGGGAACCTGAACTTGGACTACTCCTTCTGCTCCTGCCACTTCATGGGGCAGGAACTGAGGGGCAGGGGCCAAGGACTAGGGTCTAGGCTGGGTGGGAGGAAAGGTGGGGCCAGGTAGAGCATATGAAGGAGGGCTAGAGTTAGGGAACAAGTTCGGATAGAGAGGAGTGTTAGACTTAGCTGGTGGTGTCAAATGGGCAGGAGGTTCTCCAGGGGGTCATGCCTACAGCAGCTCAGCAGGAGGCTTGGTGGGGGCTGCCTGGGGGCACTGGTGAGAGCAAGATCAGTAGGATCTGTTGTCAGTGATGAGTTGGCATCAGGGGGAAGGTGTGCAGAGGGAGCAAAAGAAGAAGGATTTGAGAGGTTCACCGGAGGAGCCCAGGGTGGGGAGGTTATAGAGCACAAAGAATGCCTGGACACAGGGCACATTAGCTCATTTGCCCAATTTTCCACAATGATTATCTAAGTTCTGCAACACAAAATGTAAAAACGTGCCATTTTATGACCATTGAGAGCCATTTTCAAATTTATATTGTGGCCAAATGGTATTACAAAAAAAAAATCAGGCATTTAGGCTTCAGATCAGGGGAGAGGCAGAGATGTTTTAGATTTTTTTTTAGAAGGCAGGCTGGGGGGAAGTGAAGGAAATAGAGGAAGGATGATTTCCCATTGATAGCAGACAGAGGTAATGACATGAGCAACAAGGTCCACAGTAGATGTCTCCAGGTGGGACTTAGGGCCATAATATAATGTGGGTGGACTACCAAGGCAGTCATCACCATGACTGGTTAACCACCAGCGGAATACTGTCTTCCTAAAGAATTTTCATGACTGGCGCTGGACTTAAGGGTGAGGGGAGTGGAAGGAGGAGGGCTAAGGAACAGCTGCAGTGGTGACAGCACGGAGAGGGGAGGAAGGCTGAGGAGACAGAGGGAAAACTCTTGAAGGAACAGGGAGTGTTAAAAACATGGAGAGAAACAAGACTTATCCAATCTGAAATGGCTGGCAGGAATTGCCTGGCATGCCTTCTGAGAAACCAATGTCACAGGGTGGTCTTGTCAGGAAAAAAGGCTTTGGGTAGGACTTAGAAGTCCTTCAGAAAGTCTCATCCTATCCAAGGCACATGCAACAGAGGTGGCGGGGTAAAGAGACACCTGGGCAGGGCTTTGTGTGATAGCAACAAGGCTGTTCTATTTTTTATTCAGGAGCAAGTGGGCTGAGACCCAGAAAGGAATCAGTGAGCAGCATGGGGTGGAGAGCACAGACTTAAGAAGGGAAGTGGTTCTTGATGTTGGAGGTGGTTGCCAGTGAGTGGCCCGAGAAACCATTTTCTTGAGTGATCTGGGGACAGCATGGCCACAGGCAGTGGTGCAGATATTTTTTAACTTCCTGGAGTCTGAGGATAGTGTTGGTGTACCTGGGCATCCAGGAATGGAGGGGTAGCAGCCTGGTATTCTGCAACATCTCTTCTTGCTGGCATCAGGTTTGTCTGCAATGGATCTTCCCACCATTGCCAAGTATGTCTGTAATGATTTCTCTTGCCATCAGAAAAGTATCCTATTGGTTGTGACACTATATTTCAAAGTTGATGGAGAAATAAGGTACTTCCTTCACAAAGAACATCTGAGGGAATTCATGACCACTGAACTAGCACTACAAAATGTTCTCAAGGAAATTGTAGAAAGAGATTGTAACAGTCTGCTGAAATTCAACAGAATGAGTCCACCAGGCAAGGCAGGTAATTAAACAGAGAGGAAAAAATGGAAACAAAAACAGTTAAATACCGTAACAAGAACAAGTCAATACATATCAATTATAACCATCAATGTAAATGGTCTCAACTCACCAGTGAAAAAGACCAGACTGGCAGAATGGATCAAGAAGCAAGATCCAACAATAAACTGCATAGAAAAACACATTTAATTAAAAAAGAAATTCATAGAAAGAAGCAAGTCCACTCTCCTGCCCTTGGGAAGCAGCCCAGAGTCGTTTTTTCCTGCGTCCCCTGCCGTGGCCGTTTGACCTGGGTTACGGATAGACTGTGAGAACTACGCTACCCAGAATGCCGCGCATCACGGGACAACGTGCTGAGCCAATGAGTACCCAACATCTGGTCCTGAGTCCGCCGCACGGACGGGGGCGGGACTTCCGGCGTCGCTTCCGGAGTCATTTTAGCCTGGGGGTCTGGAGAGCGCTGGGGGCGGGCTCAGGCCCGGGGTCGTGCCTGCTGCTCGCCGGCTGGCTTGAGGGGCTTTGACAGCCGTTTCCGGGACAACGCCCCCCGCGGAGACCGATGGCGGTGGACGCTGTAGGCGACTCGGTTCGGGTGAGCGTCGGGACCCCGGGACCCCGGAGCAGGGCTCGGGTGCAGTCTCCTCGGGACTGGAGCGGGGCTGTGGGAGCACTTGAGGTGTCGCCCAGCTGGGCGTTCGCCCCCAAGGGAGGTTTTGAGGAAACTGCTCTGTACTAGATTGGCCCGGCAGCGGCTGACGCGGAGGCCGGGAGGCCGAGTCCTTGTTCGCGGGTTCGCTGGGCTCCGGGGCTAGGCAGGGGACGAGGAGGCCCTAACCCGTGGAGGCCCGCGGTGGTCACTGGTCTCTCACCTCCCTCCTCTCCCCGCAGGTTCCTGCAACCGCACAAGTGCTGATGGAGTTCGCACAGGTTAGTGGAGGTTGTGACCGGGCCTCCCTGGTGCTCACCTCACTTTGTTACTGAGACCTTTATATTCAGGCGCTCTTGGCGCTCTTCCAGCCCTTGACTCCAGGGACTGAGCAGACGCCAAGCCGAGGACCACACAACCAGGCCGGCAGCTCTGTGAAGCGGTTCCTATTGCTGGAAACCAGTTGCAGAAAGCCGTGGGAAGCCCAGGCTTAAATTTCAGATATGCAGATGCTTAAGCAAATTTTTAGGGAAACCCAGGTCTCCTTAGTTTCTCGTAGAAATTGAAATGGAGTGCAGAAGTCAGACCTGTAATGACTCTCTCAGATGTGTGTGCCTCTTTGGGAATGCATTGGGCACTGGGACCTTTGGGTCCTAGGTAGTAGGTGATCTGATCTAGGTCTTCTCACGCACCCTGTGGCTACAACATGTAGAACAGACTGAGTTTCAGGGTGAGCTAGGAAGAGAGAAGTTTGCTGCAATAGTCTAGGTGACTGTTGATGGTGGCTGGGTGACTGTTTGACATAGAGATGGTCATCGTTGGATTTTAAATCAGTTGTTTAGGTGGGGAAGGCCAGATTTACAGATTTTTGGGAGTGAAAGAGAGAGTCAGGGTTTGTGAAAGCAAGGTGTTTGGGTTCCATGTCCAGAGGTATTGAAGCTCTGCTAAGTATCATGAATTTTGTATTAGGATCACTTATCACTGGGGAGGTGAAATTTTGTTTTCTTTGGAGTCTGAGATGTTTCAAACAACAGGTAGTTTAGACACCAAATGGCTAGTTGACCACAAAGGACTTGCACTATGGGGAGGAATTCAGGATAGGTACATCCACAAGGTGGTGGTCAGTGCTTTCCTAGTGTAGCTTAGATCACAATTCGAAAAGGGAAACCTGGTCATGCTGGTAATGCAGCCAGTAGACCAGGAAGAGTGCGGTCAATACTGGGTCTCATGGTTGTTATGGGAATCACAAAGATAGATGTGGGAGAGAAGTGGCCATGAGGAAAGTGTAAGAGAGAGGAGGACCTGGCAGATTGCCAAAGCTCTTAAGGGCTGAAGGAACTTGAGACTAGTATGAAAGCTTAGGAGTAATTGAGGCACTGGGAGGCTAGGATTAGTACTTATTTTGCACACTTCAGATCCACTGGGATTTTGTAGTAACCATTGGTGTGTCTGGGGAGTTTTAGTCATGTGCATAAATTTAAGGGCGCACATGTTCATCTGGAAGAGTCACTGGGCCTGACACAGAGGGCTTCTGTGGCCAGGCATTGAGTGAAGGTGAACAGGAGAGGAAGAAATTTACCAGAGATTGGATGTCAAGTGTGGCACATGTGGAAGAGGGCTATGGGTGTCAGATCTACAAGTGGTTTCGGGTGGCAGAATGAGTCAGGTAGAGAAGCTTCTGTGGTTTGGATATGGCTTGAATATCCTCTAAGGCTTCATGTGTTGAAATGTAATTCCCAGTGTAAGGGATTAAGAGGGTAGAAGCTTTATGACTGGTGTTTAGAGATGAGTCTTTTGGGAGGTGATTAGGGCTCGGGTAAATCATCGCAGAGATTCATGATTAAGTCCTGATGGCTTTACAAGAAGAGAGTCTGTGCACACATGCTCTTCCCATCTCTTGGCATATGATGCTCTAGATTGCCCCAAGACTGCCATCAAGAAGGCCATTCTAAATGAGGCCTATAGATCTTGTATCTCCAAAACTATTAGCCAAAATAAATCTCTTTTCTTTATAAAGTAGCTTTTTTATACTAATGAAAACTCAGATAATACTCAGACTTTTTTATACTAATGAAAACAGACAAATTCAGAGGGCTTTAGAGCAGGATAGGGGCCGCATCTGGCAGTTGGGCCCATCCAAGGTCTGGGTGGTACTGGACCCTGTGTCAGTTTGGGGAGAGCCATAGATGGCTGTGGTGTAAGGCAAGAGGGTGGAGGTGGCCGCGGGAGTGAGGCTGTGTGAGAAGTATGGTACAAAGGGTAGAATCCACAGGGAGGGAAGTATGAGCTAAAGGACTGTGGAGGGCATCAGAATGATAGGTGAGCCTACATTTGATTGTGTCTGAGCAGCACAATCTTGAGACCATCAAAAAAATTTCCTGACGAGTAGGGATCCATTACTGCATGCCAGGCCCAGAGATTAGATAGTACCTCCTGGCCTACCTGCCTGTTGGTGCTGTGGTAGGACACAGAAATCAGGGGGAGCATGAGGAGAGGATGGGTATCACTGCCACCCATACTTTCCCAGAGGTGGGGGTTAGGAAAGTGGATGAGCAGTGGGAGCATATGGGGGGATGAACTTGGGGTCCTGGGAGAGAAAGATCCTGATCACAGAAAGATCTGTCCTCACCATGGCAGGACTGTGTGACCTTTGAGGACGTGGCCATTTCCTTCTCCCAGGAAGAGTGGGGGCTTCTTGATGAGACTCAAAGGCTCCTGTACCTCGGTGTGATGCTGGAGAACTTTGCACTTGTAACCTCACTGGGTAAGGCTCTCACATCCACTCTACATTCTTGAACTGGTCTATCTATCCACTTTTCCTCTAGAGGCAGCTCTGTCCTCTTTAGAGCCGGCCATAGGCCCCACAGACTTCCCAGTTTTGGCATATGTGCCATGGTATGGGGGATGAGCTGTGTCCCATGCCTGAGAAGCCTAAAATATGCTGCCCCAAAGAGTACAGAAGAGGACCCGGAGCTCTTGAATCTGCCTATTTGGTTTCAGCTTACTTACCTTTGACCACAGTCCTCATTTATGGAACTTTATGTCTCAAGTTCTGCACTTCCTCCTAGGTGACTTTGCCTTGTGTCAGGAATTGGGGCCACTTTCCTGATCGATATTTAAATAGACCATGGAGTTGTTTTGCCAGAATCTCCTTCAGGGATCTTTGTAATAACTTTCTTTCTTATGATCAATGGTGTGCTGTGTGGTACTAGGCCAATAGTAGAAGCTTACCTGTCTTCTCTTTCCTTAGCACTTGTTTCATCCACAAGTAGGGATGTGAGGAGATCCCTGAACAAGCAGTATGGTCTCAAAGGACATCTGGCCTTCATGAGTGGCAAATGGGGATGGCATAGCACCTAGTATTTTTTTTTTTTTTTTTTTTTTTGAGACAGTCTTGATATATAGTCCAGGCTGGCCTTAAACTCATGATTGTCCTGTCTCCATCTTCCAAGTGCTGCGATTATAGGTGTGTACCCATTTTAGGCTATTTCCTAATCCTGCATCCTCTAGGATTTTCCAGCTAATTGCTTTGATCACCTCATTTCTACCTTTTTAAAATCTTATTTGATGTGTTACTGACTCGTTTCATCTGTAGCTTCCAGCATTTACCTTTCTGTCCTGCATGGGTCACCTCTTTGCACTGCCCCCTCTACAGTATTTCTCAACACTGACCCACACACGTGTCATGAGGTGCATGTATGTTGTTAAATATTTCTTAAACGTGGTGGAGTCTCCCACTCAATTCCAGTCAAGTTTTCTTGCTTCTAGACACTGCTCAGTACAGCATGTGTGTTTCACCAGACCACAGGTCCTGCTGAAGGCTGTTGGCAGAGGAATATATTGGAGGTCCTCCTTGTCCTTTGTGTGGTACACCCTTGTGTTGTGTCCTTTGTCTGGTGAGGCCTCTCTGTTTCATGGTTTGTAGGTGGCCCATTCTGCTGGGCAGCTCCTTCCTCGCCCTGCTTCTAGCTCCCACATCCTCAGAACAGTCCAGTGTAGACTGGCTTCCCCTTTCCTATTTCAACTTATACCTGTAGTTTAACTTATGGCAGTAACTGAATGATAGCACAGAAAGGTTAACATTATTCTTAGAACTTATTACTTGCAGTGGTAGTAAAACATGAACACTACACCAAATGGAGCCACTTGAGGAAGTGTCTGGTGGTCAGGAACAGAAAGGACAGGATGGAAACACTAAGTTATAACCTTTATTGGAGTTTCTGCATGAAAGCCAAGTCATGGCATACAGTTTAGGACTGGGAGCCCAGAGATTTAGCTCGGTGATGCAGTGCTTGCCTGGCAAGCACGAGGTCCTAAGTTAGATTCCAAAAAAATTTTAGGATTAGGTAGTCTGAATAATTTCAGAAGGCTTTGGGCAAAGTGTCTAGCCTTAGTTGCCAACAGACCTCAGGATGATTAGGACAGAGGAATATTACATTCAGGCTGTATAGAAAATCTGCTATAGAGTATGGGTTCTTAATTGGTTAATTTAGATTTGAATGGTGCTAAATTGCCTTGCTGTGAGAGCTAGTCTCTTCCTCAGCCAGCAAAGTGGGGTTTTTTTGTTTTGTTTTATTATTAGTCTTGCTATATTGCCCAGCTATCCCTGAACTCCTGGGTTCAAGTGATCCTTCTGCTTCAGCTTTTTGAGTGAGTAGGACTACAGATACATATCACCAGGTATGGTTTTAACAAATTTTTCTTTAAGATACCAGAAAGTCAGGCTGGGGTTGTAGCTCATTGGTAGAGCCCTTGTCTAGCATCCATAGGGCCCTACTTTAAACCCCACCACCACCAAAAAAAAGTCACAGAGAGTATTTTTAATAATAATTAATACGGTCTCACCATAGTCAACATGTATTTCATCAGCACTTTTCTACTTTCAGTTTATTGGCATGGAATGGAGAATGAAGAGATACCTTCTGAGCAGGTTTCTCTGGAAGGAACATCACACGTCAAAACTCCAAAGAGAAGTGCATCCACCCAGGAGACTCACCCCTCTGAAGTATGTGTCCCCCAGAAAGACATTTTGCAACTGACAGATCAACCTGCACAGAAACCATACTTGATGGGGACACACACAAACTTTCAGCAGGACCGCAATATCCAGAGTTCGGAAGAAGCCTTGAAAAGAGAGTTGGATAATGTTTCATTTAGGAAGAGCTGCAGAGTGCATGTGTCAGGAAAGACTTTCACCTGGGGGATGGTGGGAAAAGACTTCTCTTCCACATTGGATATTATCCAGCCTCTGGCCATTCCCAGCTGTGAGAAGTCAAACACAGTCACTGAGTTTGGGGAGACTTTTCCTATTGGAATAACCCATTACAAGTGGGGTGAATTAAGAAAAGCTTCTAGCCACAAACATACTTCTGTTCACCACCCAAGAATCTATACTGGAAAAAGGCTTTATGAACCTACCAAATGTGGGAAAGCCTACCACTGCAAGTACTCACTTACTCAGCTTCAGAAAATGCACAACAGAGAAAGGCCTTACAAGTGCAGTGTCTGTGGGAAAACTTTTAGCCAGACCTCCCATTTGAATGACCACCGCAGAATCCACACTGGAGAAAGACCTTATGAATGTGATCAGTGTAGGAAATCATTTAGCCAAAGAGCTACCCTCATTAAACATTACAGAGTTCACACTGGAGAAAGGCCTTATGAATGTGGTGAATGTGGGAAATCCTTTAGCCAAAGTTCTAACCTCATTGAACACTGCAGAATTCACACTGGAGAAAGGCCTTATGAGTGTGAAGAATGTGGGAAAGCCTTTGGGTCCAAATCCACTCTTGTTCGGCACCAGAGAACTCACACAGGTGAAAAGCCTTATGAGTGTGGTGAATGTGGGAAATTCTTTACACAGAGTCACAGCTTGCTTGAACACCGGATAATTCACACTGGAGCAAGGCCTTACGAATGTAGCCAATGTGGCAAATCCTTTGGCCTAAAGTATGGCCTCATTCAACACCAGTTAATTCATAGTGGAGCTAGGCCTTTTGAATGTGACCACTGTGGAAAATCCTTTAGCCAAAGGGCAACCCTCAATAAACACCATAAAGTTCACACTGCAGAAAGACCTTATGAGTGTAGAGAATGTGGGAAGGCTTTTATGTTCAAATCCAAACTTGTTCGGCATCAGCGAACACACACTGGAGAAAGGCCTTTTGAGTGCAGCGAGTGTGGGAAATTCTTTAGACAAAGCTATACCCTCGTTGAACACCAGAAAATTCACAGTGGATTAAGGCCTTACGAATGTGGCCAATGTGGGAAGTCCTTTATCCAAAAGTCTGGTCTCATTCAACACCAGGTAGTTCACACTGGAGAAAGGCCTTATGAGTGTGGCAAGTGTGGGAAATCTTTTACGCAACACTCTGGTCTCATTCTCCACCGAAAATCTCACACCATGGAGAGGACTTGTGAAGGCAACAAATATGGAGAAGGCTATGGAGACCTTAGGGTGAAGGTTTAGCATCGTTTAACTCCTGAAAGTCCCTACTTTAGAAAGTCCTTAGATTTATAGGGAATGTGCTGTTTCTTTTTTTCAGTTTTAGCCTCTGTGGGAACCACTTCCCCGAAGTTGAACCTCATACTTCCAGGTATCTAGCAGGATAAGATTCCCTGTGAGTTCTAAGTATAGATGAGGCTTAGAGGAGCTTCTGTGCCCATTCTAAACAGTCCAAGTCCCTTGCCAGTGTTCTGTCTCTGCCACCTTTTTTTTTAGGAGCCATTTTCCTCTACCACCTTGCAGTGTTGTCTTCAGTTGCTTCAGCATGGCTAAAGGAAATCAAATATTGGCTTATTTCCTGGAGGAAGTCTTAAAGAGCCTGGGCCTTTAGGGGGAGTTCATTCCCTTTTCTGACTGGTTACAGTGTGCATCTGACCCATTTGTTATTTGAAGATCTGATCTGCAGTCTGCTGGAGGCTTCAAGGAATGGCTGACCATGAAAATTCTTAGTCTCATGTGACACGATTGATTTTTGCAGCCTTCCATTCACCAGCTGGTAACTCAGCCTCATACTGCCCTGGTTCATGGACTAATAAATGCTTTATTGTTGAATCTAGCTGCAGTCTTTGGAGTTATATTCACAGTTTTTGATGGGAGTCGAGCTGTATTAAAGGATCCAAAGCTTTTATGGTGCCCCCACTTTGTATATCTCAGTAGGAACGTAGAGCAAAAACTAATTATTTGTTATTCCTTGGCCTACTTGGCTGTGCTGAGACTAAAGAAACCATGTGGCACTTTATGGCCCTAATTTGTGAGCTTCATGTGTGTTTTTAGTGAAACCTGAGGTCACTATAAGGGCCAGAGTGTAGCTCAGTGGCAGAGTGCATACGTAGCATGTAGAAAGCTATATGTTCAGTGCCAACATTGGAGTGGGGTTGGGGTGTCACTGTGATGGAGGAGTCAGTTATGGTAGTGCTTCTAAGAATAGTAATTTGCTCAGTTCTCACAGTTCTCTCACATAATTTCCTGTCCTGTTGAGAGGAAGCTTTCCCCAGGTTCTACAACAAAGTCACGGCTTTGTGTTTATAGTAGTTCCCTAGTGGATTTTACTCAAGCCTTTGAGAGCCAGGCATGAGCTATGATTGGTACAGAATACTAGGTGTGATTAATCAAGTAGGAAGTGGACCCTGCAGCAAAAGATGTGGACTGTGGGTCTTTATAAAAGTGCTCCCATGAACAACCTCAAAACCAAAATCAGACACAGCACAAGCAGCAATCACAGGCCACTGTGGAACAAATTCAACTTGCACAGATGATTTCAGGTCATAATGATGCTGACTTTGAGGAGAAAGTGAAACGATTGATATCACAGGCAAGAACCAGTATGAATGTGACTGCTTTGCATGACTGCAGTGGAGATGTCAACAAGGCAATCAGTGTTCTGGAAGGAAACCCAGGTACGCATTCTTGGAGATGGTCAGGAAGAAGAAAGGAGTCTCAGGACAGAAGGCTGGTGGCCAGGCGGAATCCAATGAGGAAGGCAAAGAAAATTGAGACCAGGACAGAGACTATAGTCGACGATGTGGTGGACCACCTAGATGTGGGAGGGGTGCCAGCCATGGATGAGAGTTTCAAGGTCAGGGGAATGGATTGGATGACACCAAGAGTGGAGGACCTTCTGGAAGAGGTACAGAAAGAGGCAGAAGAGGTCATGGCCAAGGCAGAGGAGGCTCTGGTAGGTGAGAGGGAAGGTTTTCAGCTCAAGGAATGAGAACTTTTAATCCAGTTGATTATACTGAGCCAGCCAATACTGTTGATAACTATGGCAATAGTAGCAGCAATACATGGAACAATACTGGCCCCTTTGAACCAGATGATGGGATGAGTGCGTAGAGGGCTGTAACAGAGGAGTGGGGAAGTGAAGATTGGAATGAAGATTTTTCTGAAATCAAGATCTTCATTGCCTCTAATGTGTCTTCAGTGCCTCTGCCTGTAGAGAATGGGATAATCACTGCTGGTCAGAGAAGTGACCTTGCTGTTCTGCTGGGAAAGACACCATCTTCAATGGAGAATGATTCATCTAATCTGGATCCATCTCAGGCTCCTTCCCTGGCTCAGCCTCTGGTATTCAGTAACTCAAAGTAGAATGCTATATCACAGCCTGCTTCAGGGAATACGTTTTCCCATCATAGTATGGTGAGCATGTTGGGGAGGGGATTTGGTCTTGTAATTGAGGCTAAAGGCAGCAGTACCACAGGCTCACAATTCTTGGAGCAGTTCAAGACTGCTCAGGCACTGGCTCAATTGGCAGCTCAGCATTCTCAGTCTGGAAGCACCACCACTTCCTCTTGGGACATGACCTCTACAGCTGCACCTCCACCCGCTTCTTCACCTCTGCCAAGCAAATCCACCTCAGCTCCACAGATGTCTTTGGAGTCTTCAGATAACCAATCCTCCAGCCCTCAGCTGCCTCAGATGAAACTGAAACAGCAGAAGAAAAAAACCTCTTTGACTTCCAAGATTCCTGCTCAGGCTGTGGAGATGCCTGGCTCAGCAGATATCTCAGGGCTAAATCTGCAGTTTGGGGCATTTCAGTTTGGGTCAGAGCCTGTCCTTTCTGATTATGAGTCCACCCCCACCACAAGCACCTCTTCAAGCCAGGCTCCAAGTAGCCTGTATACCAGCATGGCCAGTGAATCTTCATCTACAATTTCATCTAACCAGAGTCAGGATTCTGGTTATCAGAGCAGCCCAATTCAGTTAACAACCTGTATCTCCCACAGCAATGCTCAGGGCCCTCTATATGAACAGAGATCCACACAGACTTGGCGGTACCCCAGCTCCATCTCTTCATCACCTCAAAAGGACCTGACTCAGGCAAAGAATGGCTTCAGTTCTGTGCAGGCCACGCAGTTACAGACCATGCAATCTGTTGAAGGTGCTACATGCTCTGCAGTGAAATCTGACTCACCTTCCACCTCTAGTATCCCCACTCTCAATGAAATGGTATCTGCAGATTCCCTACTGACAATCAGCAATCAACACTGGTCCTTCTTGGGTGGCTTGAGCCACAGTGAGGAGATTCCAGATACCACTACTGTGTAACACAGCAGAATGTTATCTATGCAGCAGAATACGCTTTCATCATTGACATCTGGATGCACATCAACATCTACTCTTGCACACAAGTGTGGAGAATGAAGCAAATCTCCATTCTTCCTCTAGCACTATCTCTACCATGTCCAGCACAGTCTCTGCACTTCCCCCAGTTGTCAGCTTCTCTTCCAGTCTCAGTAGTGGCAGTAGTCTGGGCCTTAGCCTAGGCAGCAACTCTACCGTCACAGCCTCAACTTGAAGCTCAGTTGATACAACTTCAGGAAAAGCTCCTCCCAACCTCCCTTCTGGGGTCCTGCCGTGGTTACCTAATCCATATATTGTGGCTCCGGGGCTGTTACATGCCTACCCGCCACAAGTGTATGGTTATCATGACTTACAGATGCTTCAGACAAGGTTTCCATTGGATTACTACAGCATCCCATTTCCCATGCCCACCACTCTGCTGACTGGGAGAGGTGGTAGTCTGGCCAGCAACCCTTATTCTGGTGACTTCACAAAGTTTGGCCATGGGGGTGCCTCCTCCCCAGCTCCGGCTGTAGGGGACAATGAATCATAACATATTATTTTAGATAAAATAGTTTTAGTAAAAGCCTAAACAGTGCCTTGGGAAGCCTCCCGGGACAGTGTAAGAGCTAATCCCCTAGTCAAACTCTGCCTGGGAATGTCTTCCAAAGATAAGGGGCCCCCAGGCCTAGGTAATCCTCTGTGACCCTGCCTGGGTAGTTCCATTTCCTGGCCCTAGCTAAACATTGTAACCCTAAAGGAATACATAGGTTGTAAAAAAAGGAGACAAACAGAACATAATGGGAGAAACATCTATCATGGTTAGACATACGACCTGCAACTGACCCGGGGTCTCACAGGATGAGAGAAAGACCATATGGGCACCAGGGTCAGCAAATGTTACATCCCAATCTGTTACGATGGAAACCAAAAATGTATATAAGGTGGAACAAAGGGAGGCCCCCCCCCTCACTTTCCTGATTTGCAAATCAGGGGTGAAGGGTGGCTAGCCTCAAATTAATAAACTTTTGTGTTCTCAATAGAGTCGGTCTCTTGGGGAATACAGCCCAATTTATGCCAGGGGATTTTTGCCATTACACGGCCACAACCTTGGCCCAACCCCAGCAGAATCAGATGCAGACTCACCACACCACGCAGCAGATATTCCTGAACCCGGCGCTGCCTCCTGGGTACAGTTGTAGCAACCTGCCATACTACACAGGGGTTCTGGGGCTCCCCAGCACCTTCCAGTATGGGCCTGCTGTGTTCCCTGTGGTTCCTACCTCTTCCAAGCAGCGTGGTGTGAATGTCAGTGTGAATGCATCGGCCACCGCTTTCCAACAGCTGAGTGGATATGGGTCTCATGGATACAACAGTGGTGTATCAGACACCTCCAGTAACACGGGCATGCCAGATATCTCGGGTTCTGTGTACTCCAAAACGCAGCAGTCCTTTGAGAAACAAGGTTTTCATTCTGGTACCGCTGCTGCCTCCTTCAACTTGCCTTCAACCCTGGGAAGTGGGGGGGTCCATCAATCTGGCCACAGCTGCTGCCTATCCACCTGCCCACTTTATGCACATTCTGACCCCCGCCCCCATCAGCAGCTGAACTCCCAGATCCTTCACCATCATCTGCAGCAGGATGTCCAGACGGGCAGCAGGCAATGTAGCCAGACCAGCTTCACCCTGCGGAAGCCCCAGACCAACAAATCTGCCTACAACAGCTATAGCTGGGGGGGCCAACTGAGGCCCTGACCCTCTTCTCCCAGTTCCATCTTGAAAGGGCTTCTCAGCCTAGAAAGTATGGAAACATCAGAGAAAGGAATGTTGGGGGGTTGTGCAGCCCCCCACCCCAGCGGTCCACCCCATGCCTCAGCTTCACATCTCCCATTCCCATCCCATTCCTATCTTGTATGTATTATAAGATTTGTATTTTCTCCCCTCCCTCCTCCTCTCCCTTCCATTCAAGATTATGAAACTTTGCTTTGGGCCCTGCCCTTCCTTCACTTCTTCCTGTTCACCCTGGTGGTGTATAGGTGAGGTGGGAGGGGTAACCTCCCAAATATATATCAGCTCAACAGCAAAAAATAAGTGTTCACACAGATAATAGTGACTGGCTGTGTCTTGTTTATTTCAATAAAATGCAAATAGTCACATGGCTTGTATGTAGTAAGCATGACAATGTAGGCATACTCTGGCTTGGACAGAACAATCTCTTTTTTTTTTTTTTTTTTTTGGTTTTTCTCCGGTACCGGGAACCGAACTCACGACCTTGCGCTTGCCAGGCAGGCGCTTTTGCCGCTGAGCTAAATCCCCAGCCCCGGACAGAACAATCTCATTGTACTGCAGGTGCTATAATGTAATGATGCATGTTAGAACATGGGACCAGTTATACACCTTGGCTCAACCGGAGGCTCCTTTAGGATGTTTAGTGAAACTACAGGAGGACATGGAGGAGACAATCATAAGGTGGTCACAGACAACTTGACTTAGAAG